AGTGAAATTACTCAGTTCATTCCCTAACAAGATATTGCACATCCAAATTGACCATGGAATTGCTGTAAATCTCCACAGATCATTGGCAATAAAAAATCCCGCAAAATGCTCTAAATATGTGTGTAAGAATGTGTGGCTGTATTTGAGTTTGTAATATATAATGTTTATATGAAAGTATCTTTTTCTACTTTACCTAAGGTTCTGCAACTTCTGATTTGGAAGAATCTAGAAAAAAAGAAATTAATACAGTATGTATAATGCAAAGTTAGTAAGACCCCCCCTCATCTCAACAAACAAAATTCATGATAATTCAGCTATATAAGAAAATGTAACTAGGAGTATTACAGTCTCAGGCCAGCTCCAGGTTAAAAATAAAGTAATAAACCCTGTCTAGCAAATAACAAAGGCAAAAAGTAAAGGGCTGGGTTTGAAGCTTAAGTGGGAGATTGTGTGCAGAGCCAAGTGTAAGGATCTGAATTAAAAATGAGGTTCCAGGGCTGAGAAGGTGCCTCGGTAGTAGAGTGCTTGCCTTGTATGCATGAGGCCCTGGGTTCGATTCCTCAGCACCACATAAGCAGAATAAGCCAGAAGTGGCGCTGTGGCTCAAGTGGTAGAGCACTAGCCTTGAGCTGGAGAGCTGAGGGACAGCACCCAGAAAATATGTTGGTCTGACACCAATGGCTCATGCCTGTAATCCTATCTAACTTAAGTAGCTATGATCTGAGGATTTCAGTTCTAAGCCAGCCAGGCAGGAAAGTCTGTGAGACTCTTTTCTCTAATTAAACACCAAAGGAAGCAAAAAGCTAGAACTGGAAATGAGGCTCAAGGGGTAGAGCACTAGTCTTCAGGAAAAAAGACATTGTTAATTGTTTTTATATTTGCTTTAAAAAATAACAATTTAAAAATTAAGTTATTTTTTAAAATATATACCTTATGTATAAACATTTCATTTACAAAATTAGACCTTAACATCATTTAGATTTTGTTTCTTTTCTGACGGTTGTAGCATCTTGAGATATCTTTCCCAATAAAAAAGAGTCACTAAACCAATTCATACATTTGTAAAGAACTTCAAATGGAAAGTTCCAGGCACTGAAGGCTCTCTAGCTGTAGAAATGTGGCTCTCATTCTCAGCTCCTCTCTGCTGTAGTCATCTTCTCCAAGGGAATGTTCAGCGTACATTGCATTACCACACACAAGCAAAAAAGAGACTTTGTTTCAGATAGCTTGGTATCCATTTCTTCTTAACTGGAAGTCTCCATCAAATTTCAAAGTTCCTATATTCTGGAACTGAAAGCAAGATGGGGCACATGTTTCTCTGCTCAGAAGTTATGGGAAAGGCTTCAAGTTTGCAAAAGGGTCTGTAATTTAAACAGGCCAGATGGCTGATTGTCTTTGAAAGAAATATTTTCAATATTACAAATATTTTCAAGAACTCCTAAATCTACAGGACTGCTTGAGAATGGATTATTCACCAGCCTAGGATATCTTGCACCTCCCTCCCAACTTATTTCAGTATTTTATTTTTTACTTATAAATATAGACTCTGGGATACTTCATATATATATATATATATATATATATATATATATATATATATATATAGTTAGGTGAACTTCCTGAGTTAGCAAACAAGTGTGTCTTTTTGTACTTCATGTAGACATTCATCAAATACCTCATTCTTAGTTTAAATCACTTTGTAGTCAGTATGTTCAACATATAATTAATGTATGTTTATATTGTAGGTAGAGAATTGATATGGAACGTTCCTTCAAAGGAAGGCTTCACATTTGAGGAAACATCCCTCCAAAAGTACAAAATGTTTGCATTGTCCTTTGACATGTGCACATGTGAATAGGATTAAGGAAGGGTGTGCCACACACCAAAGAAACAAAATTTAAGGAGGATCTCAAGATCCTGCCTCAAATATTTTACATTAAACAGACCATGAAAATGTCAAGGTAATTACTATAACTGTAGATAGTAAACAAAGAATAGAAGACAGAGGCATAATCAAGACCTGGAACTGTACTGAGAAGTAATCTCTCACAGTGATGAAATTAGCCAGATATGAATACATAATTTAGGAACACAGCTTCTGTTTAGGACTATAGTTGTACAGGGCTTTGCTTACCTCACTGCATCTGACGTGCTTGTAGGTTCTATCATTCGCTGTCATTGTGGAATTTTTGTACAGAATTTCAGTCTAGGTAATTTTGTGCTCATATATTCTGAGGATTAATAGCAGAGCAACAAGTTTCTAAACATCTGGCTTTATGGTATGGACTACAGTCCTGCCTTCTTCCATCTAGGAAGATGGATGATGGAAGATGGAAGATATCTTTTGCTCAACATCACTTGTCTTTCTCAGTTACTTGGAATTCAAACTAACTCATGCAGATGGTGTTGGCTTCTCAGAAGCTTAACATGAAGAATAATGAAAACTTATTACTTTTTTTCTTTGAATAATACAGAGAATTTAGGATTTACATTATTTAGAAATAGCTCTGTTTCCAACAGTAACAATTTTTAAACTATTTTAAAAATGAATTTTGTTGCTAAGCATATATTATTGATTATTTCATAGTTATGTAACTAACAACACTATCACAATCATAAGAGCAATAATTTACTTTAAAAATAAACTTACAAGGGAACTAATAGATATTTTTGTTTGATCTTAAGTAGAATCTGCTTTATTAATATTAGTTGTTCTGATTACAAATAAGTACTTTTCAGAAAATTTGCCATTAGCATTTTCTACATCAGGAACTCAGAGCCAGACACTGGTGGCTCATGCCTGTAATCCTAGCTACTCAGAAGGCTGAGACCCGAGGATCACAATTGAAAGCCATACCAGGCAAGAATCTCCATGAGACTCTGATCTCCACTTAACTACCAAAAAAACTTGAAGTGGAGCTATGGCTCAAGCTTAGGGATAGCGCCCACGCTCTGAGTTCAAACCCCAAGACTGGCACAAAAAAATAAATAAATAAGAGCTTTGTCTGATCAAGGTGCATGGTATGTTTATATGGGCATCAGAATGAAACCTCTTGAACAAGTTAGTTGCTGGTAATAAAATAAAGTGGAAGGACAGAGTTCATAATTTTTTTCCAAGTCTTTCCATTTCCTTAGGAATGGGGCAATGCCATTTTTTCTGATGGAAGTATAGAATTCTATTGTGTATACATACCACATATTCTTTTTTTTTGGTCATGGGGCCTGAACTCTTGGGCCTGGACACTATCTCTCAGCTTTTCAGCTCAAAGATAGTATTCTACCACTTGAGCCACAGCACCACTTCCAGATTTTTCTGCTTATGTGGTGCTGAGGAATCTAACCCAGGGCCTCATGCATGCAAGGCAAGCATTCTACCATTGAGCCACCTTCCCAGCCCCACATACCACATATTCTTGATCCATTCATCTACTGAGTGGCATCTGGGTTGATTCTATATCTTTGCTATGGTAATTAACACTGCAATGAACATGGTTGTGTTGGTAGCTTTAGTGTGGCCTTGTTTGCTATTAGTTGGGTAAGTGCCTAGGAGTGGGATTGCTGGGTTATATCTGTGTGTCCTGTACTCTGTCCCTGAACTTTTTCACTCAATGCTACTGGTTTGTCACTTGAGCCACAGCTTCACACACAATTTTTTGGTTGTTAATTGGAGAGAAGACTCTCATAGATTTTCTTGCCAGGACTATCTACAAGCCAGAATACTTAAATCTCTGCCTCCTGAGGATTTAGGATTACAGGCATGAGCCCTAGCATTTGGCTTTTCAATATGATTTTTTTGGCTTATTAATACATGATGTTGGCCATCAGCTTCTTCTATATACATTTCCAAAGTACTCAGGTTAACTTTAGAAATCAGGAATCTTAGGAATTCTCAGCACAATCCCTAACACAGCAACAAAGAAAAAAATAGTTGGAATTATTTTATCAGTGTAAAAAAGATAAGCTTCTTCAAATAAAACAGGTGTGTTTTCAAATTAACTTGTGTGTTTATACTTTAAATTATATTTTCATTTATCATGAGGACAATAGGGAATCTGACAAAGGAAAAAATAGGGCCAGGTTCTCATGAATTATACCTGTAATCCTAGATAATCAGGATGCTAAGATGTGATCAAATCAACCAGGGCAGAAAAGTCTGCTGGACTTCATCTCTAGAATAAACAGTAAAATATGGGCTGAGGTATATCTCAAGTGTAGAGTTTCATCCATGAACAAGAAAGCCTGGTAAGAAGGAGGCCTGGGCTCATGCCTTCATTGAATTTCCCCCTTCCCCACTTCCCACACACAAAGAGAACAAAAACAACAAACAGTTTATCAGTGAAAATGATCTGGGTATAATCTGGTGTTTTTATATTATGTTTCTCTAGAAACTCACTGAAAACTAATGATTAGTTTTAATCAGTAAGAGCAATGTTCAACAGACACTCTGTCATATAAGGCCATTTATCGGAACATGGTGTGTATTTTCATTTGATTTGTGGAGTGTGTTTCCATGTGAACAGCAAAGAAGATGCATCCTTCTAAGCTTTATTATAAATTCTTGTGAAATGTCATTCATTGAATTGTTTTAAAGTAAATGTTACTCTGAATTTAGTATCCTAGCTGAAAGTATTTGAAAATATATCTTCTATTTGTTTAGTGATTCGTTAATTCATTTACTCTGTTCTCTTGAATCTGGGGAAATCATGAGCCTTTGAAATCATAAGATTTTGAAGTAAAAACATCATGAAGTTACTCTCTATGTCTAGGCTGATAAGCATTTAACTTCCATGTAAACTTTGGCTTTGATCATCTATAAATTGAAAATATGGAAATCTTTTTTCCATAGGTTATATACAACATTTGGTATGATTATGAGGGACAATTAAAATTGGTGTGTGTTGTGCAATGAATGATATCACTAGGTTAAAGTGGCATGTATTAACACATTAAATAGATCTCATAAGAATCTGGGCCTTATTCTCACTTCTTTATCATTGCAGATTAAAAAAATCAACAGAAACTTTCCTGTAAACCAGCAGGTAAGATCAAGTAACACTTGCCATCTGAATCACATATTTCTTCAGTAGTATCTTTAACTGAACATAATTTCCGTGCCATTTAATTTTTATGAAGAAATAATTGTTGATATTTGCTATCTTCAAGAGAATATATTAATTTATCGATTAATTTGAGGACATCTAATAAATATCTGTAATGACAGTAAAATAAATTACATTTATTTGTATAGTAAACCCATCTTATTACATGTAAAGAAATGTAAAAGTCAAGAGATTTTCACACATCCATTACACAGCTCAATTAGGGAGAAACTCTCAGCTTCCCATCATTGTCACCTACATTTCAGTCCTTACATGATATTCTGAGTGTTTCCTTGCCATTACTTTTTTAAAAATCTGTCTCCTCAAAAGCAATTGGTACCCCCAAAGCAAGGTGAGCGTGGTTCTTATGATTGAAGTTATAAAGTGAAAATTTGAGATATATTGACAAGTGACATATTTTTAGCAGGTGTTGGGCAGCATTATGGAAATTACTAATAGAGCATACCCAGCATTCACAGCATCGATTCTATTTATACTGAACATGTGTAGGTTTTCTTCAATGGTTTCTCCTTAGAACCTTAGACCAACACATAACAAGAGACTATTGTTTCCTTGTTGAGGATTTTTACTGTTTCAGTAAGATGGCTTTAGCATATCATCACTTTTGGAAGGTACATTGTAAACTGAAATCAAAGATCAAGGAATGTTTTTCACAATTTGCTGGCAGTATTTCAAATGAGTATATATTAGTGTATAAGATGAAAAATACCTATGATGGATCAGATTTATAAACTTACTATATTTAACATCAACTTGGATTTGCAACTGTTAAGCAAAATTTAAATCTGTAAGGATACCTGGGAAGCTCTCTACGTAAGATCTCATCTTATGTCAGTAGATAAATGTGAATCTGAGTGAAAGATCACATGAAATAAGGTAGGTATTTATGAATGGTATATAAATTCCAATCAAGTTCAATAGTTAAAAAACTTTAAATGTCCTCAAATTTGCCAAATTACTTTTCAATTTAAATTTCTAATTCCTTATCTTAAATAATTGTTTAATGGCAATTATATTTAAAAGTTTATTAAATTATAAATTTATATAAAGTTGTAAATTCTCAACACATGCCATAATTTTGTTACTATTTCTAAATTTTCCACATGTTCTTTGGAATGTGAAGTATGTTATGTACAAACTGTCATTAATAGTATTTCTAACACAAAGCCCTGTGTAGTTGCAATGCTCATGAGAAGGTTCAACTTTGGGGAATTAAATGTGCATCATTTAATCCCTGGGCATCTTTCCTAATGTGGAGCCTTCATCCTAGTACCTAATTAATGTTTTAAATAGATGCAGAGATTGATAAGATAGGTTGTCTCACATTCTAGGTTGTCTCTCATTCTACTTCTTCTACAATTGTACTTGATACCCTTGTTTTCAGTGGCACAGGCTCTCAGATCATTACACTATGAAGAAGCCTCTCATTTTATCCCAGGTGACTCTAGTTAGGGTGGGTTGCAGATAACACCCTAACTACACTTTAAAGATTTCATAGAGGCTACAGTATAGGAGAAATTCCATTAAAGAGAAAATCTCCAAATAGAAAAAGCATCAGCTCTGGGAGGTAAGTTATAACAGGTATCTGTAGGTACAGCTCATTTATAATCAGATATATAAATATAGAAATTTATGGATTTGTGAATTCTTGAAAAATAATGAAAATGATCACTATTTCTTTAAGAATGAATCTAAGCCGGGTGCTTGTGGCTCGCACAGGTGGCTCATGCCTGTAATCCTAGCTATTCAGGAGGCTGAGATCTGAGGATCATGGTTCAAAGCCAGCCCAGGGAGGAAAGTCCCTGAGAATTCTATCTTCAATTAACCACCAGAAAAACAGAAGTGATACTGTGGCTCAAGTGGTAGAGTGTGATCCCATGATCCTTGAGCTGAAGAGCTGAGAGACAGCACACAGGCCCAGAGTTCAAGCCCCACAACTAACCCAAAAAAAAAAAGAAAGAAAAAAAAGAAAAGAATGAATCTAGGTGAACACTGAGGCTCATGCCTGTTATCCTACTTACTTAATATGCTGAGGTCTCACTTGGTTCAAAGCCAGGTAGGAAAGGTCCATGAGACCCTCATCTCCAATTAATCACCTAAAAGCCAGAAAAAAAGCTGTGTCACAAATTATAGAGTACTAGCCTTGAGCACAAAAGCCCAGGGCGAGTGTTCAAGCCCTGAGTTCAAGCCCTGGACCAGAATATTAAACAAAAAAGAATCTAGATACAAGGTTGGAAGACACACAAGTATAATTTGACTTGTCTCTGCTTGTGTTTGACAAAACAAAAAAAAAAGTAAAGAAAACTATAAAATTCCACTTCTGGAGTGGCATCAGAGGAAAAGTTAGTAATGACCTCCAAAGTTAAAGTAATGAAATCAATGAATATCTAGCAAAATGGTCAGAATCAGTTCTTCAAGCATAAGGAAATGTACCTTTATCATTATATTATATATTGCTTATATATTCTTATGTATTTCTTACAGTTTTATATATCTTACATTCTTGTATATTTCTTAAATATTCATATATGCTTATTCACACTAAGCATATATGAAGAAACATGATGTGGTTTATATAAAGTTAAGGACATTAATATAAAAGAGATAAGATATTATGGGTGAAAATATGTTTCAGGTTAACCTAAGACTTAAAAGCTAAATTCCAAGCCAGCCAGGGATGGATCATATTTGTAATTCTAGCTAATGAGGCTGATATCTGATGATTATTTTTCAAAGCCAGCCTGGTATGAAAGTCTGTGAGACTTGAATCTCCAATTAACTACCAAAAGGCCAAAAGTGGATCTGTGGTTCAAGTGGCCAAGTGCCAGCCTTGAGCAAAGTTGCTAAGGGAAATTGCCCAGGCCTTGAATTCAAACTTCAACACTAACACATACAAAATGCTGAAATTCAAATCTGTAAGAAGTTCCTTATAGCAATAACAGACATGCCTTCAGTCCTACTTTTTGCTAATTTCTTTGGACATGGGGGTAGCAGCACACTTTCAATCCTACAGGATTCCTACATTGATCCTCCTGAGTAGCTAGATGTATATCATGAGATAGTGGCACATAGAGGACTTTTTCCTTCCTTATCTCTGTTCTCAGACTGCTTTCTGTCACTATAGTTTTATCTTTCAGAACTTTATGTAATAGGATTATATAGTATGCATTAAATCTTTCTGGATACTCTAACTATATGTAACAGTATATAACTATATGTAACTATATGCAACAATATGACTATGTGCATCTGTACTTCATTTCCTCTCCCTGTTGAGTAGTTGATCATGGGCCACTGTACTGCTATTGGCATATTGATACACCTGACCATTTGTTCTATTTTAAATGTAGAGGTACACAAACAAAACAGCCCTAAACATTTGTGAGCAAGCCTTTCTATTGATTATGCTGTTAATTATTTTGGATAAGATCCTGTAAAGAAATAATTAAAATAGACAAGTATATTAAATGTTTTTCTTTTCTTTTTGTATATCAATACGAGGGTCTGAACTTTAGAACTGGGCACTCTTTGCTAGCTTTTCTACTCAAGGCTAGAGTGCTTACTCTTTGGGCCACAGCTCTATCTCATTAATTAAAGATAAGTGTTTAATGGACTTTCCTTCCTAGGCTAGCTTTGAATCATAATCCTCAGATAACAGCCTCCCAAGAAGCTAGAATTACAGGTGTGAGCCACCAGCACCCAGTACAAAACTGTTTTGTAAATAATTTCACCAATTTTTGTCCACAACACTAATTGCTTTCAAATGTTAAGCCAAGTGTTTTTACTTCACAGATATCCACAATTGGTCATCTCTTGGTCCTTTTATTATTATTATTAATGGATTCAATGTTTTAGGGAAAAAACTGCTGAGGATTTTTTTCTTCTCTGTTTAGGAGAAGTAATATTTTGTGGTTCTCTTATATTGAAGTCCCAGTAAGTAAAATTTGTTACATTTCCATTAATAGTCCCTTCAAGTTAGTTTCTAGCTTACTTAACTTTTCTCAAAATTTACACATACATTTGTGGAAGAGTTACTTAATTTTTAAATAATTGAGTATGTGTTTAGGTATTAGATTGAATTTGGAACAATCTCCCTTTCTGGATTTCTAGTAGGAATTTATGAAGCATTGGTATTATTATTTTGCTATTTGGTAAAAATCTTTCAGTAAAACTGTCTTTATGTACATATAGATTCTCAACTAAAAAGTCTATCATTTCAGTTTATCTCTTTCTGATTAGGCATTAACAGTTATGTCTTGCTAGGATTTCTTGCATTTCCTCTTTTTCTTAACTAAGCTATCAACACACATTTACTCAGTTTTCATATACTTTCACTTTCACAATATGAGTGCATTATCTTTTTAAATAATGCATCAGTCTACAGACTTAACAATGTTCCTTAATTCTTTTCAGAGCATTAGTTGTTTTGTTTTGTTTCTGGGCCAGTCGTGAGACTTGAACTCATGGCCTGAGTGCTTGTTGCATGAGCTTTTCTGCTCAAGAGTAGCACTCTACTACTTAAGCCACAGCTCTGCCTCTAGCATTGTTTTGATAGTTAATTGAAAATGAAAGTTATACAGACTTTCTTGACTGGGCTGGCTTTGAAGTATAATCCTCTGTTGATAGCCTCCTGAGTAGTTATTTTGTTTCCTTTTTATATATATTTCATTGACTTTCACTGTGATGTTCATGATTTTTCTTCCCTCTTTTAGGCTTGGAATGATTGGTTTTTCTATTAGATCTTAATATATTGTATGAAAACTATGAATTTTTTGTCTCAGATCCTGTTTAATTGCCACCAATTGCATTTTAAATACAGTTTTTTCTTTATAATTAATTCATGGTATACTGCAACTTTACTGATGTCTGCGAAGTCCAATGGACAAAGTGATTATTTTCACCCAAGGGGTGAAATGGAG